TTCTACCGGATGCTCATTTCTGCCTTTTCAAGCTTCTCGAGTGAAGTATTCAGTCAACATATTTTGTACTTGCCGGAAATACTCTTTTCCAAATATTTCATTAAAATTAAGAAAACATTCCAATTTAATGGAAAAAAAACCAACAACTGCTTTAAAATAAATTTTCATTAATTTCTACAAATAATAATTTCTATGAGAATAAAATTCTCTCATCCCATCTCGCCCTAAATTCATCCGACAATCCCATGCCCTTTATGATCAACATCAGGGAATACCGACCATGACCTTCTGAAATACCGGTCCAATTACCTCAAAAGCACCCAAAAAACGCCCCTAACACCAAATTATTTCATCTCCATCCAGTTAAAATAATCATGCATCCCCCCAACTGGGCTCAATCCCACAAAAGATTTTCCGTATCCCACAGCGACTGAAAAAGGGTCAAAACGCTCAGTGGCATGAGGAGAACTGAGTTTAAAGGCTAAAAGGTACTGAGATGCCGCGCCATGCATAACAATTAGCTCGAGCTAAAATCATGAAAACGCAGGATTCTCTTTTGACTCCTGTGTCTCTTCCTCGTATACTTCTCAGTGCCCTTTACCACTCGGACTATACCCCTACCCATTGCCCTCAAGCGTTTTCTACCCACCGACGTGATCAACCCCAGCATTTTCCTTCTATCCTCCTACCCTTAGAAAACCCACCCCTCCATCACCCTCTCCAACGGAAGTACAGAAAGATAGCGCAGAGTTACACGCCCTCCAACCCTTTTTCCCTCCGTTCAAATTCCAATTCCCCCGATTATTGTGCAAATTCAGATAATTCCGTGTAATCGAATTAATTATTAATAAATCACGATGATGAAAAAGACTAATGAATATTATTGAATATATTGAACGATTGGGTAAATGATGGGTGTGGAGATAGAAGGGAGAGAGAGAGGAGTGATATTTTCTTGTACCGGAAATAAGTGTCTTTGAGGAAGGGTTGTGTTGCGTATCGTCGGATCTTGAAGGGGTTGAGACGGGGAGGTGCTGAGAAAGGGTTGAGGGCATGACTGAGAAACGGATGGTACCACGCACGTACGGCCGTATTAGGACTTGGATAATGTATGGTCGCCTCTTCCCAGGAAGGGCTTCCCTTCAATGATTTAGGATGTCTTACGATATGCTCAATGCTCGGCTCATGATGGTCACACGTATTATGCAGGGGCGCGGTTGGAAAGCCGATTCTAGGGATCAAAGTACTGAGTTATTGATGAATTCGATTTCTTCGATTTTTGGTGATTCGGGGAGCTTTACTGTAATACTGGAAAATTTAATGTATTGGATAAGTGACAGCATTTTTCAGAGGTTTTATTCGTCGAGGGAAAATATTTAATAAAATAATTTTTTTTCGAAATTATAAAATCCTTGGAAAGATGGGTATATGATTTGGCAAAATTGATTCATGGAATTGCAAAGAGAATTTTTTATCTTTTACTCTCTTGTCCTTCAATGTTTCTTACACCCGATATTTTTTGAGAATAAAAGTAGAATGTCTTGCTAACACGGGATTTTTCCACTGCCACTTGCCACTCATTCTCATGATTCTCTCGCTTCATAACAGCTGTTTGTTTTCTTCTACCGAAAGATATTGCAATAATCCCGGAACGAAACTTTCGTCTGGCCATTTCATAAATAACAATTCCCCAGTCAAAAAAAAAACGTTGTTTTCACACCTATTGTTTCTCGAGTATCCGTTACGCATTCTCTCTGCCCGATAATTTTGTTTTGTGTAAACAGAATAATAACGTGAGATCCGTGGGTGGGTTTTGCTTGCAGAATGTTAGGGATACAACTGAAAGGAGAGAGAGAAGAGGAAGTCATTTACGTAGTTCTACAACTTAGAAGATCCGGCCCACTCAACATAGCTCATGAAATCGTCTTCCTAAACAGGAAATCCTCCTCTGCAGGTAATTGAACATGTACACAGCGCTTAACCGTTAATGTCTGAATGAAGACAGGTCAATTGATTAATTAACTTAAAAACCTGATAAACATTTTAATTGTTTCATTTTTGGATCCCGCTATACTCGCAATTCCAATAGGTAATCAGAACAGCAAAACTGAATCCAAAAATCACCAATTTTTTTAGTAATTCTATAATAAAAATGTAACGTAATTTTTGGGTAATGTTACATCCAATCTTTTTTCAACACGTGGAAGCACCAGTTGCCTCGAATCCATGAGAATGCAAATAATCTAATTTGCACCTTCCTACTGGGACTCCCCAGTTTTTTACAATTTTTTGTACACATTTTATCTCACTGCAAACCGGATTATTTTTTCCTCGGCGTTAAATTCCCCAGAGTAAGGAACTTTCATTGGAAAACTCATTCCCTTGTAATGAAAACTCCCATGTAAAAATGTCACGCAAATGTCATACGTGCTGGTAAAAAAAAACATCCGAAAATAATTCTAGTCAAATGGGAAAATATAGAAGTATCAAAAGATTCTATTTTTCCATCTTTCTACAACTATTTCTAAAATGACAAGGCCGAGAGAATTTCATCAAATCATCGTCACCTTATCGTATAGTTCATTAAAATAGCAATATTTATGAAATAATTTGTACGATATTTTCAAGTGAAAAAAAGGAAAAAGCGAGCAAAAAGTGTTAAAGAATAAAAATTTGAAATGAGTCATTTCAAATCATTCTCATTCAATCTTAATTGCTTATGGTGGTTATCCATTAAAAGCGCGTACTCTTCAAATTAATTCACCCGCAGTCGCATTAATGGACGGACCTCATTACCGCCACAAGAAATCGAAGAAAAAAAAAACGATTACACCCCACTAAGATAGCATAATCATAATTCCTGTTGGGTAAAGTAGATATTTATAAATAAATATCATCTTTCACTACCATGAATGATTTTAAATGAACTAATGAACGGAAGGAAACGTGCGGTGATGTCGAACCCGATACAGCGGTAATGGCAAATGAAAAATTGAATGATTATAAAAGCGTGCATGAATAAAATTAATTCTATTCATTTCCGGCGTCATACATTGTAATGCCGGAAATACTCAGAAGTTCAGATGACGTGTTCTTAAATCACTCAAGGTCGAGACCCGAGGGAGATTCGAGTGAAGTCGTAACTATCCGAATTCGCTTCAAGGTCAACCGGAGAGACACGAAGTCAATGTCACAGTAGTCAATGCCAAACTATCAGTAGACCAGTAGTATAAATCGCTAGCCTAGTGGTTAATCATCAACTCAATTTAAAATTAAATCCCACGATTTTAATCACAGTGATAGCATATCACTTCAATTCGTCAAATCGTTGAACATGCCAAGCGGCTTAATGTCTTTAAGAATTTTATAATCACGGACTCAAGTCCTAACGACAAGTCTTAAGAAAATAGTAGTAGTAGTAGAGGATACGGATGCCCAAATCGCGCCTGGATAAAGAAAATTAAGCCGCCACAGTTTCAATTTTTCCATTAGGAAATATATGTCGAATTACGAAATCTAATGGACATTCAAATCAATTTAGAGGGTGTTCGTTTCATCCCTACCCGTCCTACAAAATATTTTCATCGACAGCTTTATCCCTTCTTGTGGTAATATGACGAGTCATTTGAAAATGCTCACGCGTATTTTCTCGAGAAAAAATTGTTTTTTTTCTTAAGGTTTCCGTTGTGCCCCTGTCTCCCCTATATATTTGTTTTTAGCAAAACGGTTTCTTGTTTTGTAATCGATTGAAGACGAGAATAAATAATTGTTCAGTCAACAATACCGTTGGGATAAGCAAGCGCAACGATTGAATGATAATATGATCGGATGCATATTTCTCGGTACTCGACTAATGTGTGGCCTCTCAGATTTCGTTTATATCATCTATTATATGAGCATATGAAATTACCGACGCCATGAAAAAAATCTATAGTATCGATGTACCAGAAAGTACATCCTTTCACAATCAATCTCGCGTTGATTTACCTCGGCAATATAATTTTAATTTTTCACACAAAAAAAGACAATTGTAAACAATAGTTACTTTAATCGAAGTCAACTCAATCATCGCACACGCACATAAAATAATCAGCCATTTCATTGCAATCTTCACGCCGGTCGAAGCATTATTCCCGGGATATCGCCTTGTTTGCAGTTTGTTATTTACTCTCCCGGCAATGGGCAATTGTAATATCCGGCGAATTCAATTTTATTTAATCCCCCGCAGCAAATATCAACTTCCAACCTCCATTGTATTATTGAATTCTCCATATCTGACCTATACCCACGAATGACGTTAATTTTCTCCTGAGCGTTTCGACTTTTTTATCCTTCTTTTTCATACTTGAGGAACTTCCTCATATGGACAGTTTTACATAGATGTGAATCCGCGCAAGTCTCGGTTTTCCCCGTTACATTTCTCACTGATGTTGACGGGCTCTATAAATAGTTAATGCGACTGTCAGAGAGTGAGAAAAAGTGTTGAATTAAAATTATTTATGTACAGCGTTACCATATCAAATGGCATTTCGTTTACCCGCGTTTTGTTATCAGTCAGTCCACGATGGGGGGAAAAAGGGATAAAGATATACTTTCGGATCAAGCGGTCGTTGTCTCTTATATACATTCGAAGGTCGATCAATTGAGTTCGTCAGACACGTGCGTCAACACGTGCTCTTATTCACGCTTTCGACATTTAAAATTAGTGGAGTTCAGAGATACCCTGAGCTTGAACAAAATTCAAATGATATAATATGGAGTGCCAAATTTTGCGGAAAACCACTGGTCTTTGTAAATGATATGCCATTTGAGAAAATGCCCGTTGAATTTCCACCGTCTTTCAAACGTTAACAGAACAGAATAGAACAAAATAGCACAACTGACACGATGACGAAAGCCGCAAACCGAATAGGAACAATCAAAAATCGTAAATAAAACAGAAAATTGAGACAAAACCAGAGGTAAAAAGAAAAATGAATTTACATACGTCTTGCGCGATGACGCGACGCGCCGCACCTGTTGAACCGCGTGGCGTGCGGTGACGTCGATATTCTCTTCTCCCCTTCGTCACCTCGGTTTTTCCCTATGACCCCCAGTGCACTCACCACAAAAATAAAACACGTGAATAAAATCACAGAACACACAAAGAGAATAAAAAATATATTAAAAACTCGACACTGCACTTGGAACTGGTAATTCCTTTTTACCCATCAATATTCCACCAGCACTAGCACGAAACAAACATACCAAGAGCAAACATCACAAGTTGAGACAAGAGGAGAAAAAAAAAAAGTATGCGCAAAACAACAACAATAGCGCGCAAAAATAAACCAACCGAGTAATCACAAGTGCAATTGCACGGAGTTTACCACTGGGAAAATGCGAAAATTTATGGACGACTAATAATTCACTGGCAACGGTGAAAATTGATTTTTTAATGGGTTGTTTATTTATATGTCAGCTGAACGCGGTATTGGATACATGGGTGTTGGGCGTTTTGTGTTAAACTTGTGTATGGAAAACAGAATTGAACGAGACATTGCCGGAGAGTAACTGAGAGGAAATAGTCGTGTGTGAAGATTGTGGGAGAGAGAGGGAGAGAAAAAAAAAATTTATTCCCCGGCGGGCAGGCAACCGTCGGCCCCCACGTTGTTTGTCTCGCGAGTGGCCTGTTTACATGTTGACTCTCTGTTTACGCGTTTCGTCCGCGGATTTCTCTTCACCTCCCTGCCCACCTCGTCCACCCCACTTGCCCACATTCGATAGACTGTTTAACCAAGCCGAGTCGTGTCCTCACCTCACCCAACACAATCCTCTCACACGCATTCTCCTCACACGCCTCACTACCGCCACTCATCACGTTTTTTCCACACTTTTCTCACTAATAACGCGACACTTTGTTACCAGTGAAGCAGGAAAAGTGTTGGCTGAGTCGGAGACTAGAGACTACCGAGACATGATGGGGAAGGGCCAGGGTGGCACAACCCCTAGTCACGTCGGACCCGAAACAAGGCCCCACAGGGTTAATGAACAGAGTCAGACGACAATTATCGGTATTTCACCATCTTACATCGTTTAGATATTTTTGAATGAATGAATGAACAAAAGGGATTATTGCATTATTTATTTCAGTTTCAGGGTGCTAACTCCCACTTTTTTTTTAATTTCAGATGTGACGACACTTTTTCGCCAGTTTAACCTGGGCAAATTTTTTTTTTTATAATTATAATTCATTGATGTATCAAGATTTTGTTTGTTGCAGAATTGGATTATCGGACAAATAGTGACAACATGAAAGACACAATCGTACATGAAGACGGTTTACGTAGAGAACAGACACGCGATTGTATTTTTTCTCTACGAAATAATGATGAAAGGGTAAAAAGATTGAGGACAATTTGTGACAATTGCTGAATTGAAAATGGAAAAACGATATGGAAGGCAGAGAGGAGATACTCTAGAGTTAGTGATGATTTATCCATTTTGCCTGTAACGAACTATTTTATGAAAAAAAATAAATACCGTATCGCTTAGACAGAAATTGCAATATGTACTATGAAGTAATTGCCCAATTAATGGCAACGGGAAGTTCAATTTATTTCGTTATCGAACTTTAAAACGGAATTATGACACAAAAACAATCATTTTAAATAGCTATTTGCTGTAACCACAACAATGAGGAAACTTATTTCGCCATAAACGCCTGAACAAAAAAAAAATAAAGAGCGACGATAAAATCGAAAGGAAAAATCAGAATATAACATTTTTCAAATCCATCCAATGAATTCATATTTCTATAATGAATTTCTTTTAATCACTTTCGTCTTTTAATCAGCAATTTCCTTAAAATCAATTACCAACTGAATTATTAAAAATCAATTATTAAAACCGCTCCAATAAAAAAATCTGGCTTTGTTATAATTATCCCGTTTAATATTCGACAAATCACCCAGTCAGTTGATTAGAAAAAAGTGTTTTGATAACTACTGATTACAAACGTCAGAAAAAATTCCTCTATATAGATAAAAGAATCATTAAATCTTGCGTAATCACTACACGTCCGGGGAAGAACGGCGAGGAAAAAAGGAACGAGGGCGTTATATGAGCACAGTTATAGGCCCATTGAAGATCCTCAAGTAAAATCGATTGTTATTCGATTAAAATCGTCTGCGTATTTACGTTTTCGTCTGATTAAGCCTATCAACATGAACATGTGAGATCAGCGATATCACCAATTTCGAAAGAGCCAAATGAATCGTCACAATGAAATAAGGTAAGTACTATAAAAAAGGTAAAAACAATCATTCATAGTCCCAAGAGTTAATAGTCGTTTATTGATAGAAAGGGCAGAAATATCGCATATAAATCTGTTGTTCATGCATCTGATGATGTCAATCAACGTTATTTATCTATCTCAATGTTAATGAAGCACGCGCCTTCTTATTCCTTGGAATACTTTTTTCCCACTTTTTTCCTCATTTGTCACGTACACACGAGTGCGTAGAGCCAGAGACCCAAGTGTGTAAAATAACCCAATGAAAAAGGAAAAACCAATAAAGAGAGACCAAGAAAAACAGATACATCCGGAGACAAAGACTTCTAAAATATAGAATTTACCGTCTAATTATTCCTTCGGATTAATTATAATTCTGGGTTTTAAAGGCATTCAACAATTTCGTTGTAATTGACGCTTGGATTTTTAAACTGTAAGAGAAAAAAAATCCATGAAAACCATATGTGTTAGAACCAGAAGAACTGGTAAGAGAAGATCACGGAGGATTGAGGAGCGAGACGAGGGAAACAAACAGATATATCCGGAGACAAAGACTTGGGAGTTGATGGGAAAAAGGGCGCGTGCAGAACCGGAGAAAGACGGACTCGTGATGATGACAAACGGCTCGTGTTCACGCTGCACACATCACGCAAGTACACATTATTATAACCCGAAGTACATTCTACGAAGTGACGAACGCTTGAGTCATCCGTAAAGCAACTGTCGTATTCTGTTATGTTGCTCCTCACTTGCAGCCGCGTTGCTCTTTATTCATCCTCATTCCGATCGTAATTACCATTTATATTCGATAATTCTGGTAAGGATGTTTATGAAAAATCATAACTATTCACAAAAAATTATTATTGTTATCAAATTGACAGTTAAAGACATGACAGAAATTAATCCTCACATTCAGGTCAAATGGCAGTGTCAACTAAAAAATACAGTTGAATTTTCAGACTCATCATTATAATTGATCATCAAATGTAATTACATTTTTTTTTTCAGTGCAGTGAATCGAGAATTTTGAATTACTGAAAGTTTTGTAAATTGTACAGTTAAACAGTTAGAATAGTGGAGAGTAACTCTGTTGCTTTGATGATTTTTTTCAGTTCATATTTCATGCTGTAATTTGCAGAAAAACGATTCGACATTGTAACGTCTCTAATATCATGTTAATTGCATTAAGTCGCCCGGAGGCAACCCTTCCACGTCACTCCGTCCCACTTGGAAATAAATCCAGTCTCTCTGATTTCGTCTCACTCTGTTACTCGTGGAAAATTCTTGCCTCATCTTTTTCACCCCATACCACCACTGTCTACTGGATAATATTTTCACTTCCATTTCGGTGTTGTCTGTCTCTTTCTTTTCGCAAGGGTGTTTCACTGCTTGCGACAATTCTTCATTAAGCATGGATCCGAGTGAATGCGAACTTATGCATCATCTCGGGTAATGGAAATGAGAATGAGAATGAGAAAAACAAGACTGTTAACTCTTTAAGGTGACCTGTGCATAAAATATATAAATAATGCTTTGATAATGAGGAATATGGCAAACCTGGAAATTAATTGGCTCTTTAATCGTTCATAAATAGATTTCGAATTTTTGAAGGAACAATTCCTGACGCGTATATAGACGACGATCTAGACTCGAGGTCTTTAAGTGATATAAAATTTACTAGTTTATAAATATTTTGATATTAACTGGAAATTAATGACAAATAAAATTTCTGAGAGATTTATACTTAAAATCTTTATTTTCACCAAAAAAGTAGGTCTGGGGTCTTTTATCATAGTAGGACAGATTCTTGGGTCAAAGGTCAGGCGGAAAAGAAACTAATGCTCGTTAAAAGATCGTCGTTAAAAGTCGTTGATTAGAAAGTACGGATTGAAAATCGTGTGATGAAATTAAATGGACAAAAATCCTGAGAAATCGCACGAAATATCACGTGACGTCAGAAATAATTTGAGTCTTCTATTTTAAATAATTCTTCAGATATTTTGAATATTCTCTAATTTTCTTAAATCTCATGGGAACATTCAGAGAACCTTTGGAGAACACCAGAAAAATTGTGAGATTCGCCATAAAATGAGAATTTCCAAATAAAATACCTCGCTGATAGAATTTAGATTCGAATTATCGTTTATGTTACCCCGGGTTTATACATAACTTGGATTTTCGTTTTGACCAGAGGACTCCTCGGAGGCTTTATGTACAGAACAGAGGAGAACTACCAGAGAGGTATTTCGCGAGTGAGAGCCCGGAGATAAGGTAATCCGTTGCCTGAAAACTCTGAGAACCCAAACCATCAGCATAACCGAAGGTTTAAACGCAAACTCGAGGATTGGGTGAGTTGGAAAACAATAAACAGAGCGAGTTCATAACCGATTAAATAAACTGGCGAAAAAAAAAAAATAAAAAACAAAAGTACTTCGCCCATTAAATAAATTAAACAACAACTCTAACTCTCAAGTGAGTGAACTAAACAAGTGAATGGCATTCAATTGTATTTTTTCACTTTTTGTTTTCAGGAAAAAAATACCGAGTGAAAGTTTTTAAAGTCTACCCCATTTCAATCTTTTTATTCGAGATGAGGTATAATAAAAGAGATTTGCGGGGGGAGGAGCCAATTGAATGGGTTGAAATGTCTTGAATGGATATTGAACAATCGTTGGAATGCACGGTCTAATACAAATACAATATTGAGGAGGCAGTCGTTGTCTGTGGACTGAAGAAATTCATACTGCCAATTATACTAACGCTCTTACATAAATCTCTGATGAAAATCGAGGAGGGCAAGGGGGGGAAGACAAATTGCGGAAGATTTATATTCTCAAGCTCTTCCTTGGGACAATTTTAATGATTTCGGTGGACCATTCATGTCCACAGCAGTCGACTATTCAACGGCCTTCCAACTTTTTTTTTGTGGACCGAGTAAATAATATATCGCGATAAATCAATTTATCATTGTCTTAAATTGACAATTCACAAAGACTGATTTTTTGCGTCATTTTTTAGGTCAAGAATGTTCGAGCCGCTTTTGCGAATTCAATTGACTAAATAATTTTCATAAAAAAATCATCACGATTGTTTTTATTTTTTTAATAATCCTCTCAATCATGAGCATTGGAGACAGTTCCACCCCTCAAATCCCTAAATCATCATTTTTATCCTTCTTCCGAAGGGAAGTGTTTCGAATTAATTATTTACAATTGCACCAGAATAAAATCATTGACGAAAAATCACCAAGTGCCTGCTCTATCCCACACTTGATTCGCTCACAGCTTATCATTCACAAAAACACATTAAACCTTTCCCCCAAAAATCCAAGTAAAACACTGAGAAGAAAAAAACCCAAGAAAGGAGAAAAAAAAAGCGCTCGTCAGCCTTTCTTCAGTTCCGCATTGCATCCCAATTTCCAAAGTTGCACGAAAACTTTAAACTTGCAAAAGTTTTCCCAACGATACTAATTAACGAAAGAAACCCCCCACCAGAGTGGAAAGTCAAATGGAATAAACATCCCCTCCCTCAGCAAAGTCTCACACCCCCATCTCCCGGTTTCCTGATTTATGCTAATGTTTTTGTCTTACGTTAGGAAATACACCAAAAAGCGATCTCCCATCGGTAGTTGAGATATATCTCACCCTCTCTCTTTTTCCAAGACACTCGGATTAACTTAACTGCTTTAAGGTGGCAATAAAGGTCGAGCGATTTAACTGGCGTTCACATTATTATTATCAGAAGGGAATGAGTACGAGAGAAAGAGAGAGGTATGTATTGTGGCCCGTAGGCACCTTTTAAATGCGTTGAACTTCCTCTGTATGAAATGTTTTATTGGTATATATAGGTATATTTTAATGGGAAAAGTTCGGACTTTCAATACGATTACGAGACGTGGAGAGAGAGAGAGGAAGGGATGGTGTCGATCAATCTGTCGATGCTACCCCTTTTTCTTTCTCTCCCCTTCGTTTTCTCTTTCTTTGCACATGAAAAAGAGTAAATTGCCGCGGTTTTTTTTTCTTTCCCCTCTGTTCTTTCCATTTGTATTTTCCTCCATTTTACTCATCCCCCTTTCCCTCATTTTCATGTTAGTTCTGAAGGGATAAGTGCATCCAGAGAATTTTAATGGAAATAGACATACCACGGATTCATTGATTATTAATAAACAGAGGTGGGCTTATTCATCTCTTCGAATTCCCAGCAATTGCATTCTAGGTACATATTTATTTATTGATTAGTGTCTCGTCTCCGTGATTCTTCTTCCCGTTTTTTTCCGCTTTATCACGCATTCACTGGGATTTTCATATTTATGAAGCTGCCGGTGGGGTATTTATTCCACAATTCAGTGGTTGATGCAATATCCGTGAAATTTTAGGGGATGCATTATTTTTTCTCGTTTATTACCTGGTGTAGACGAGTTGTGGGGGTTATTGAGGGGGTCGTCTTACCTGAAACAGAAATTAAATGTGTCATTAGAATGAGGTCTTAGGAGAGTATTAACAAATCCCCTGGATTATGGGGATTTTATTTAATTGACTATATGAGTGATTTTCAATTTATTTCAATGTCAATGGGCACAGGGAAAATATTTTTCAATTCTAAATGTATTCTTCCTTGCCTACAGAATGCGGAAAATTCCTAATGAAAAACTATAGTACAGACTTAAATAGCAATTATTTCCTCGCAATTTGAATTGAAATCTCACAACAGTTTCATAGTTCGAGTTAATCAATTTTTTTTGCTTCATTCCATACGAAAAATGAAAATATTTCATATTGAATAAAAAAATCCATGTTCATAAATAAAAATGAAAACCTGTGTTTTTTAATTTATTAACAAAAAGTTATTCTTTCATGTAGTCGTAGAGTCGCGGTGCCAATTGTCGACATTAATTAACCTCGAATTGAAATTATTATCTCCTCAATTGTTGAATTATTTTGTAATTTTGCCCGAGGGGGGACCACAAAACTCGTCTGTTTTTACGAGCTTTTTCTTACCTCCTTAAGATACAGGGGTGTGCAATGCCGCGAAAACTGCTCAATAAACTCAATTTAACCACCCCCATTCCATAACGATATACTAATCATATTCCTCGAGTGATGAAAGTACATTTAAGCATTAAACCTCTTACCCACCCCCAGCACAGAACAGTGGGTATTTTTTTTTTAACCCAGAGAAAACGTAATTTTTATTTTTTAGGAGCAAGACGGGGTAAGGTTGACCGCAAAAATTTTTTGTTCTCTTTTCCAAACGAAGGCGGTCCCCTGCTGAGGTCGCATTGTTCGACCGAACGCGGGAACAATGCTGTGGCTGATCATTTCCTTCTGCAACCCCTTTAGCTGAGGAAAGCTCCAACTTTCCATTTAGTTTCAATACAGATGAAAAAAGAATGAATTTTAAACGCGTCATCAATTCGATTCTGCGGCTGTACTCGATCACGAGAAGTGAGTTTCAATAATCAAATAAATAAATGGACTATTCCACTGAAACATTTATCCTCAGTCAAAAACAATTCGACTTGATAAAATAGTAATAACACCCATTAACTACTCTTCGAATAGGATTTTCCGGTGGGACGCTGATTTAATCGGTAATATCTCATGTCAAAATGTTTTGATAATTTCCCAACGATTAATTGCAATTGAGCCTCGCCCACGGCCACTAGACCACAAAATAATTGGGGTAACGCCACATATTAAGTACAAAAATAACGTAACTTGTTATACGATAAGTGAGAAACGACGAAAATTGGTCTGCTAATGGCCCCTCAGTTAATTTCCAACGCCCGGATCTAAATTACAATTGCGCAAGGTATCGCCTTACTGAAATACCCTCCAAAAAATGTGACAAACAATACCAATAAAATAAATTTAATTCGAGTTTAATTGGAAATAAATTAATTCAAAATGTCACCTGCACTCCACATATAATTATTATCATAGATTTTTTATCTTTTCGCGCAAGTATGGGTAAATGTAAGTTGAGGGTATTTAGTTGAGTTTTCGCCCCGCGTGTTTCACCTCTTGAGATTTACGCGTGAGCTATTTTCCCTCTAAACATGTCAGAGTAAACTGCAAGTTGGAATTGCATATACGAGTTGGAGGGATTTCAAGAGTGTGTTTTAAACGAGTGAAAATCCCATCTCCTGGTCTATGTGTGGTACCTCTCTCCTCCCTTTGATGCTTTTAATAAATTTTACTAACCAAGAGACTGGCTCTAAACATTCATAATGGCCGAAATCGATAGTAAATCAAGCGGTAAGAGACAAGAAACTGAGAACACCGGTGACTACCACCGACTGCACCACTTGAATTCTGGCAGTAATTATAAATATGACACTTCGGCATTATAACGATCCCTCGATTAATCTTCCGTGGTTGTCTTGCAATTATTTTGTCTCTATTGCGTTGCTATTCATTTAAAAATCCGACATACCTAGGAATTTACCTAAGAATTTTAATTAAAACATAGGGAACGCATGACGTGCCGAGAATTACTCATCCAGATAGTAGAAGCATAAATAAAATAAATCCATAAAAGATTAGATAATTGTTTTAAATGTTTGATGACGCAAATGTCGAGGGGACACTCTCGTCTTTTTAATTGAAATTGTATTTTTATTTTCATGCTGATGTGAAAAAAAGTGTTGCAATTTACATCTCGTCGCAATTTCATTCCGGTCTACTAATGTTAGACATTCGATTCTTTTACTATTGTAGTACAAGTATCCTGTGACACTCGAGAGAGAAAATAATTGCGATCGATGCCGAATATACACTCTGCATTATATTTTCATCCACCACTTGATCACTTCACGGTTCAGGTGTCGTGAAATAAAAAAAAAGTGGTTAAAGAAAAATAGTGGAATGAATCGTGGAATTATTACTGTTTCTGCGGGTTTGTGACGACTCGGGATTTTTACTCTCTGTGTCAAAGGGAATGGGGTTGACGATAAAATTATGTTGTCGCGCATCGATTGATTTCAAAGGGAAATCAGAACACGCGGTGAGTGTTCGATGCGACTGATGAGGGTGACTCTGAAATGTATTGTTCCATCGTGTTTTCAATTTACGCATTTTTTTTTAATCTTTTATTCGTTTTTCACCATTATCGTACATCAGTACCGCATCTCCCTCTTTACCCCCGGGGACACATTGAATTATCCGTTGCTCTGTTGCGTCGACTAAATTCTAAGCAGACTAAAATTAGGTACTGGTATGTTGACCCCGTGACTCGCTGAATGACCTTTTGGTCCACTAAATTCAGGAGTGAGAGTCATTCAACAGAATTATTTCACTGTCAAACAGTTTTTTCACTCATTCAATGGTGATCAGAAGTATGGAATTTTATATTACAAAATATCGCAATGAAAAAAAGTAAAAAAATCGTCATATAAAAGGGAGATCGATCTCCAAATATCTCGAATGACCGTAAGACGAAACCGACCGGCCACTACGACGTCGTAGTAAAAAAAAAATGTTGAAAAATTAAAAACGTCGAAAATAAAAAAATCGCAAAACTTTGGAAATTATTGTGAAAACCAAGGAAGGTCACAAGTTATTGAAAAAATTTGGCTTGGGAGGCGGGAGGCGGCAAAATTTTGAAAAATTTCGGAACTGAGAGGCTGTACGAATTATTTGAAAAATTTCGCCTAGGGGTGGGCAATTCAACAAAATATGTCATACATTCGCAAAACCCGTGACAACTAGCAAGTTATAACAATAGTTCACTTCACTTCACCCCCTTAAAAAAATAGAGGATTTATTTTGAAGCCCTCCCTCAGCCCCCCACTATTTTCCGCGTTGAATTTGTATCACGAGTATTTAAATTCTATTCTAGATTCATAACTATTAATACTTAAATGTCTGCGTTGGAGCTAGCCAGAGGGCTCAAGCCACTTGGCTCTGTTTCCTCATGGTATTTTTTCCTCAACAACTGTCTCTTTCTCTCATCAATGGGACATTCAGACTCACGCCGCTGTGGATTTATCAACGGGAATGAGACTAGTACATCCAACTGCAATCTCAACTGGTCATTCCCCCCAAAATTCTTGGATTAAAAGAATTCCATAATTCTCAAGATATCTCCTTCAATTTGACCTAATGATAAAGTTTCCTCGATGGACAGGCGATAACTTATCAATCAGGTATATTTCTCTTGATTCAACGAAAATTCATTTGATTTGTAATTCTAATAATTCGTGATAAATTGAAATCACAGAATTCCCGGAAGTTTCACGTAATTTATAACTATAAAATTATGTAATTCATGGATTTTTTATGTTAATCCATTTATAACGAAAAACATCTGGCGTCGACGTACAAAGATTTTGTACTGAGAGATTAATTTTATTTGGGTTATTTCGAATTTTCGAATGATAAATAAAATAAGATGTATGTGAAGAAGGGAAGTAGATTGGTAGCGAGTCGGCCATTTAAATCTCGAAGCCGCACAAGCGGTAAATCCATCGGGTCGTTTCGTATGTAAATCGCTTATCGCATCGAGTTGTCCACTCGTTATAATTAGGTATGTAGGCAAACCTCGGGGGCAAGTCGCACTACTGTGGATTTTGCTCATAGTCGAGTAATATAAACCGGCGAGGATTCATAGACACACATTTGTCTATGAAAACTTGCACAGACATGAAATACCTAGCCAAGTGTATGTTAGTCTAATGGCGATGAGTGCGACTTGCAGTCCGGACCACTGCAGCTACTCGTGGAATTGGGCTCTTCCGTTGTTTCTATTACAAAATAGATGGCGTGATATTGCAAAATGGCCCGCGTTACCGCCCGCGGTTTATTATTGTGTCAAATGTGATAAATAGTGGAAATGATCGCTCATAAACTCGCCGAGAATTCCAATCTTTTCTGAGCCGCACATTTTCAGGAGACGAATTGTTTCAAGTGGAATCAAATTTATCATTTTTCATTCCATACAACAATTCTGCAAGAATTTAAGAAATTATTTAATAACATTTTTACGCAAACATTTATTACGAATCTTTCTCGTAACAATTTAGTCGTTACGATTTTTCCCAACGAATATCGAAGCACAATCTTGATTGCGCTTTGAAGAAAATGCTTTTTTTTTAATATAAAAAAAAATATTCTTTCGAAAAGCTGGTGTGAACTTCTGGAGTATTGATTGGCATTGAACTGACACGAGATTTTTCTATTAAGTTTCATATCAACGCATGCAATGATAACACGAAAACTCGGGATGAGCAACAGATTGGATTTTCTGGGACGCAACTCCGATGTGAATTCAGCCCGAAAAATGGCAAATATTTTGAAAACAGCGTGGAAATGCCTGGTGAGGATGCACTCCAGTGTCAGTAATGCATCTATCCTAGTGGAGCTCGTTCACGTGCATCAAGCAGGAAGCGACCAATCGTCTTTGGTGATTATCCCGGTGGCCCTATATCCCACTAGGTTAGTTTGCACCACGGCATCATGCACAACTACACATTGTGCATCATCAGGGACAGCGTTAAGTAGATTCACTAACCCAGGGTATAACGATACAGTTGACTGTGTCGTCAACCGACAGTCATCGTATGTACCAACATCGGTGTTATTATACCGCCTGCATTCAATGTACCCTTCCGCAATGCCATGACAGAGAGAGATGACAACATGATGCAACACACTTCATCACAATTGATCTCGATGTGTGGGTAGACCGTGATAGAGAAAGAGAGGGGCTCGTGTTACACTTTATGTACGGGTTTACGTGGTGATTGCCGAGGTGAAGGAGGAATTCAACAAACCGCACTTGTGCTACACATCATTATCATAAATGCCCGCGATTCTAACCCACGCGTAAATCTGTTTCGCAAATTGTACGGAGAGTTATGTCATCGGGCAAATGAATGATCGAGGGAACTCTTTGGGTTTCTAGAGCAGCTCATCTCTTCTCTATGATTTCTCCCGAGGTAAGTCCAGAGTTTTTTCTGAATTAAATTCAATTAATCAGGAATAATAGGTGAGAGAGACTCATGGTTTTGGAGGAACTGGCTGAAATCGCCATTTTTTATCACTGATCATGGAATTCAATGGAGAGATAAGTGCTTATCAATTTTTCGTTATTTGTTCTCTCTCTTCGTAATTGTTTAAAGACAATGAATAATATACAACGTGTGGTTTTGACAATTGTAATATCCTGGAAAATTCTGCAATTTCTCTAATTCTTGCGTTTCGCAATCATTGATGTTCCATCAAAGTTTTTACAACGTTATTGACTGATTTGGTTAATTAGCTCCTCAAATTAAAGGTTTTAGTTATTGTGAAGAATTCGTTATTATCTGGAATTAATGATTTGATGTATCATGTAGGGTGAGAGGTGTGTAAATAACGAGACGACAATAGCTTATCACCGTACAACATCAATGTGTAAACAAAAATGGGGCATGATAAGAAAGCGTTGAATCAAGGTATCAACGTTTATATTTTCTTCATTTTCAATTGAAAAATAATTATAAATAATTATGGCAAAATTTCAATCTGATACCAAATCAAAAATTCTGTCACGTCAACAAATTCATAATGACTCTTTTTTTTCGGAAAACCAAAAAAATGCATTCCACCAAAATGGCGTATTTGTTCTTGTCATTTAAATTGTGATTATATCAGTTTGCCGAACGTCGATTTTATGATTCATGTATTAATCCATGAAAATAAATTCCTGACGATCAAGTAATTATCAAAATTCCGATTGTAAATGCCAAAATCATAATATCAACGATAAATATCGCACGTTCCCTCTTTATTACCTTATTAATCAGACATCGACACCCCCTGAATCATAAATCAGGAATTTTTATACCGCCTTCACGCCAACCAATGAAGAAACACATCTCTGAATCACTCACTATCAGTGCAAACCGTAAAACGAGAAATCTTTCGATTCTTGAGCCATCGACGACGCGCGATGGCGGAAGTCCTTTAATAGCAGTCTGCAATGACTATTACCCGTCCCATAAACCAGACCCACAACTCCCCAAACGACTATTTATCAACATCGAGATATTCTAAAATATTTTTTTATAAATTATCATTTCGAGCTCAACTCGCGAGCCGATCGATCTCGCTGAGTCTCTAATAATCAATTAATCAACCTCGCACTCGCGAAATACCAGATGTGTAGTGGAGTATTGCGAGGAATTCAATGGCAAAATGAAGATTGACACCGAGAGAAAGACACACAGAAGTTTATTCAACAGCAGTCGATTGTCGTTATGGCAAAGCGAAACGGTGTCGACAAACTGATAAGAGTTCCCTGACGGCCACCAAGCACGGAGTCGTGGCTCTCCTTGCGTGATCTCAACCTTTTTTTTTTTTATTTTTCCGTGCATTATTCTGTGTACATTAGGCTCGACATCTCGCCCCCACCCCCACAGAGGTCTTGAGGTTTTATAATTACAAAATCGTGAATGCGCCGCAAACAAGCGATCATTGGCTTTTTCATCGGTACGTTCACCTGGTGATTGACGATAGCGAGACATTCCAAATTCAATCTCCAGTGTTAAAGAGAATGATAATCGGTTAATTATTTATTCATGATATTTTTGTCTCATTTGGCGACTCGCGCGCTCTCTTATCAGACCTCGACCGATATCAGCAATAATCGGTTAATTATGGTTTACGAGTCATTGTTTTGCGCGTTTGTCAGTGGAAAATTGCATTTTGTTTGGAAGATTAATCGGGGGATATGGAGGGCTTAGGTGGGGTGGGGTTTTGATGCAGACAGGGAATTGCGTGGGCAGCACCAAAATATGGAAAAATATCGGGGACAGGCGGGTCGTCAGCTGGAAGGATTTCTGTCCGATGGGAATTAGTAATCGACCTTGAACCTCACACATATTTCAATCTCTATATCTCGTCGGTCGATATTTCGGCGGCACTGAATTCAGGCGATAGTTGGCGTTTTTTTTTTTTTTTAATATTTTTATCACGCTACGCTACGCGCTTTCGCGGGGGAAAAAATTGCGATTAATTACGTGAGAGTTCTTTAATTCTGGGGTGAAATTAAATTTACGCGAGTTTCTCGTCATTTTTACATGGAGATACGGAAAATTACGCGATAGGCTTCTCGTTCTGTTCGCCCTGTTATTTCTTATGGAATTTTTACTCTTGCGTTGGAGAAATTTTATGATTTATCGAATAGGTTCTATTTTTTGGTACTTTTTTTATTTAAGAGTGATAAATAAAGGGGGTCGTTCAATGAGTAAATTATTTATTGGTGAAATGCAGATTGAAAGTTACTCAAAATAAATTATCCCTCTTTTCAAAATTGAATATTAAATACAAGAGGTTTGAATAAACTATTGCGAAATTTAATATTACTTCGCAAAATGTCAGACCGTTATTTCCAGGATTATGTCATGGAAATTTGTGTCGTTACGTTGATTGAAGTCGTGTCAACGCCAGTCTAGCGAAATAAAAATACTTGGAAAAGATTGGAATGTTATTTTTAAAAACTCATGTAAATCATACACTGACTTTGACAATCTGGCACTTGTTTCCAAATGGTTACACGTTAATTAAAAGTCCATATGAGTTGAATCCATAATACTGAGAAGTTACCAATGCTGTTAAAAAAAAATCTAAGTACTTATTTGTCCACAATTTCTGTCTAAAGATTATTCTTGAAACTTTGAATTCTTCTGTCCAACCTATCGCATATTTTCTCTGCATTATTCTCAAAAATTCCATGAAAAATATCGAAAAATATCGAAAAATGTCGAAAAATGTCCAGCTATGTAGATCGGTAATTTTTCCCTCGGTGTGTACACAATCAATGATTAATGCAGTATTCGACATTGGAAAGTGAAGGAAGGTTGATAGAAGGGGATGGGCCAGAGGGTGGTTTTAGTGGTACGAGTTGGGCGTCGTGGCGTTTATGTAATCACGATTATAATTTAATGCGTCGCGTCGGCGTCGATGGTAAACGAAGCGAGAAGGGAAGGGAAAGGGCCACACAGAGTACTCAGAGTACTCAGTGGTACTCGGTTCATCGGTCAAATGTTGTACCCGTTCGAATGTAACGATAGTTATCCACAAGAGAGAGAGACGAAATAATGTATTCTACATGGATTCATAGATCGGCAAATCATCGAATTCAAGCGGCATTCGACAACGTAACAAGTCAACTCTAGTCTGTCATTTAACTCTCTCGTACAAACGGTAAAATCCCATACCCCAACCTACAGCCTATCTCTCTCATTCAATGTGTAACATTGCCATTATGTATACTCGCGGGTATTATACTTGCCGTAGTTCCCACCGATTGCCTCGATATGCCCTCCTGTTTCTATTGACAAATCCATACAAACCATCCAACACTGATGCATCACCCTCGAATCACTGATGTTGAAATGCACCTCACCTAATTCTAGTTTCTCCCCTCTTTCCCCCAGCCTTCTCCACTCAATCAATGTGTACATGTCATTTATGCATGTCAGGGATGAATCATTTTTTTATGTTTGCACTGGTACTTCCCTATCAACCGACTTTTCATTTTACTAAATTGCCGCGTTACGGATTCAGTAGAAACAGGTGGGATAGGGCAGACACTTTTTTTTATAACCGATCGACTTTGCGATAAATAATCCCGAATATTTGGAGACTGAAAAGACGATAACGAAGAACAATCACCGATTTTTGGATATTTTCATTAAATAACAATATCGATCAGACAAAATTATTGTTTAGAAGAAATTATTTTTGGATCTCACTGGAAATTCATTCAGTCTATCTCAATCCAAATTCGCTATTAAACAATGTCATTATGTTTGAACTAATAAATTAATTAATTCGAATGAATTAACTATTCGGCCTACAATTTTCCAATTTTTCAACAAAAAAAAAAACAAAAAAAATGAGGTAAAAAATAAGCCAGTGAGAAAGACATGAGATTTGTCGTTTGCGTTTGTATGGAGGTACGTGAATAAGCCAAAGGCGTACAGAGGTGTGGTCCTCTCCCGGGCATGGTGCGACGTAGGAAATCGTTCAACGGCAAAAGAAGATGGAGTGCATCGTACCCGGAGGAGAAGTGGGGTTGGGCATTTTCAAAGACGTGCACCCGGGGTGGCGGGGGAGGAGAGGGGTGTTGGGGGAGAGTAACGCAAAGAGGGCCGCATTTGAGTATACGTTTTTAGAGGTGAGGAGGGAGTGAGGAAACGTTGCCAAGACGTGATTAATATAAAAGTGGGTGGAGCCTCTGTGGTCCGGAAGTGGCCGAGAGGGATGCAACGGCGGCGCACCAGCATTTCGGTGTACAAGCCATCCGGGCAAGAGCAATCGCGGAATCCTCTACCCCTGCTTGCGCGTTTTCCGCAAGGAGATGCGTCGGAGGAGACGAGAAGATGCCCCAGCGCGAGCTTCCATCCTTTTTCCCCATTGCAAACTCAAAACATCCACGAACCCCCAAAAAATCTATCAATAAAACCATTTTTTTCCCCCGAAAATCATTCAATATCGCCTCAACCCGATTCATATATTTATAACAATGATGAGAGGAATTTTGGGTTGGATATCAGTAACTCTACTCGACCGGGATTTCAACACGGAGCACTTCCATCAATAATAAGTGAATAAATAAACAACTATGGAAGTGGTTAATTATTTATTATTCTGATTTGGGGCTGATCTCTTCATTATCTTCATTCTCTTCATTTCCACTGGGAAATTCATGAGAATTCATCCGCAGTGGAAAGTCCCGATCACCGGCAGCCCTTGCCAGGGGTACCAAAGAGCATTGCAAAACTCGCGGAATTGAGTACAGGGGGGAAAAAAATGGGGGAGGGAGATCAAGAGCTGAGGGTGGCTGAGGTTACCTTCCCCCTCTTTATCATCCCACCCCCCTCTGACCCCTTCCTCAGCCACTTCTTTAACGCCCACCAAGCAGACTAGGACCGCCTCCGTCTCTGGACCGTTCCACCTACTCTCCTGCATCTAACCCTCCTGGGATCCTCACCGTATTCTCAGAACAACTCCCTCTCCCTGGACCCTGTAAACCCCTTTTTACCCACCCCTTGTCACCCTTTACCCCTTCACTGCCTTGCTAGAGTGCCTCGTCGACCGTGCACTCAAGGGAAAAAGGGCAAATCTTATGGAAAAAAAAATATGCACTTTATGTGCACTCCTGCTGCCAGGTAACCATATCTTCGGAGAAGTGTTATTCTGTATTGGTGATGAAAAAAATTATGGCGGTGGTTCGAAATTGAAAGTCTAAGATTTTTTATCCGTGCTATATTGGAATTTTTGAGATCGAGAGAAAATGGTCGAGATTTCTGGGTCCGATGAAGAAAATTTTTGCTTATCGAAAATATTAGTAGGACCATGATTTTCATTTATTTATTTACATTCTGGATGTGATCTCTTAAAAAATACTACGGAAAAGTATTGTCCAGGCTGTTGTGAAAAATCGTAATTTTTGAAAATGTAAACTAAAAAGTCAAACGTCTATTGCATTACGACACAAGATGAAGAGTGGAGAAACATTCGAAAATGGAAATTGCATTTTATCGATTAATCTACTAATAAACGTTTCACGAATAATTTAAACCTTCACGAAACATCAATAATCGCCACAATATCAATTCATCAGGTGTGCCAAGACATCTTTTCCCTGCCTAGCAAATAAATAATAAAATTAATTCGGACAAGCGTGTTCGTCCACTATTCATTGAACCCGGATATATGTGATCGTTAAAACGTCACTTCCACAAATATCGTTAGAATCGTGTCTTTTACCCTAAAGATCCCCTCCATCACCCCCTCTCTTCGTCCCCACTCCCCTACCAATCCCCCTCTAGAGCCTTTTCTATTGAAATGAAAACACTGTGCGAATTTAATCGATCGCAGAAATTCCTCACGATAGAAATATCACAGCGGAACGAATTTTAATATAAAACAACAGCATACCGTGTAATTATGCGAATATGTAGTGATATTAAGTGAATTGGATTACCATGCAATAATCTGAAAAATAGTATTGTTAAATGGCGAATGTAGAATTCGCCCATGACATTCATCACTTGAAAAAAATATTGTAACCAACATTAAATATAATTCATTAAATGTAATATAATATTAATATTCATTAAATATAATTTATGTTAATGCAATTCCATTCGAAATTCATTCTTAATTAAAAGCAAATAATCTAATTAATTGTTGCCTATGAATATTCCAATGAGAACGACATTGAATCGTCAATAAATGTAAATGGAATTTGCAACTAATCCATAATTAATAGAATCAAGTGAAAACGATTAACACAACGAAGCAAAATACTGGTGAATAATGGGAAGGGGCATAAGGGGAAGTGAAGGTCGCATTTATAAACGCGAGATGCAGTTGAAATCAGATGCGATTACATCAAGATGCATGAGAGATAATAAACAAGGGGGTTGAAGAGACCAAGAGAGAGACTCAATCAAACAAACAGAAAAACCACAACTAAGACCATGGAAAAAAAAAGGAAAAAATAAAGCAACCAATAAAAATTACTCCAATGTAACTGAACTAGTGTTGGTGCATTAATAAATTGTGCATTTGCTTGGGGATGATGATGCATTTTGGTACGTTCAACATTGCTGTACCTGGACGGGTCTCCAGCGTGGCTCCAGCATGCTACGGCTCCTGGAATCCTCGGGAAGTGTTGCTCGTTCACCCGTACTTCCAAATTTTATGAAAAAAAAAAAAAAAAATTCAACTAAAAACTCGAATAATTACTGATTCAACTCAATCATCAATCAGGAAAATTTTCAAAGTCTCTCTCTCAGTCTCTCCCTCGATATCTTACGTCTCCGATCCCTCCCCTCCCTTCTCCCTTGACCCTTGAGTTCCCCTTCCCCCCTGACACCACCACCTCCCCCCGCCAACCCACCCACCCACTGGATAAGGACGGCCGCGTGCGCCGGGCCACGTGTTTACGGGGGTTGTTATCGATGACGTCACCAACAATTAATTTCTTCTCTCAATTTTGTTATGTTCGGGTGAGTAGTTTGATTTAACGAACGAGCCACAATTTCGCTTCAACTATGACTGGCGGTTATTATTCCTTGTTGTTCTGGTGGTGTTGTGGGGGCTTGTTTGTTGTTGTTGTTTACGGATTTAATTGAAGGGGTGGGAATAGTGTGTGGCCGGGTGCGTATGGGTGGCGCGCCGGTGGCTGCCGTCGCGACTCTGCAGCGGCTAGAATTGTTGAGCCGCGTAAACCTTCGGCCTTCGGCTGGCGCGGCCACGCGGCTACTGAGTCGGCGCACTTTGACACTTTGCCACACCATCGGCCCCGGCCCTCTCCTTCAACTCTATTCACTGTTCCTCATTTTTAATCCCCCTATCCCACGACAATCACGGAATTTTAATGCTACGTCTTTGCGGATTCAATTGCTCTGGATTTTTCGTCAAAATAGATTCATTTTGGGTTTTCAATGGGTGGGCGGGGTAATTAGTTCAAGCAGATTGATTACTGCAATATTATGTCTTTATGCCGTCGATTTGCATAATGGCATTCATTTTTTAATTTTCATAAAACGAAAGTGTTAATATTAAATTTGAAATTCAAGTAAATTAAAAATTCTCGTCTTCATGATTTTCATTTTTATTTTTAATGACACCTTAAATTTGAATTTGAGTTACTACATTAAAATTGCATCAAAGATATAATAAATTTTTATTCAACCCCAGCCATTGAGCATGCAATTTACTTTATTTACAATTCCAGGTTGAGAATGCACACTTCAAATACCATCACGATGTTTGTTGATAAATCCCGACACTGCATTGGTACACCCAACGAATATAAATGGCTCAACGCGATGGCAACGATGTGCGGTATGCGACACGTTGAGAAACAAAACTGAGTGGAAGATTCAAACTCGTTAATGTCAAAACTCAACGCAGTGAAAGCCCAGTTACCAAACAATTGCAGTATCTGTTTGTTTGTTGTGAGTTTGCCGGAGGTGGGCGAGGAACAATGCCAAACTAGCCTGCCAAAGTGTAACACTGCCGAGGAGGATGGAGTTACATCGATAACAGGGTGGACGTATGATGACTCTGAATATACTACAGGTCAGATACCAGAGCCAAACCATCAACCTCACGAGCAAGTTGAACCGATTGATACATCAACACTTTCTCTCCCTCAATACACCACTGTCTCAGTCTCCATTGATTATCGAGGAAAACTTCCAGAATGTTTATTGAGGTCACTCGACTATTTTCATTTACTTGACTCATTCCCTAAATTAAAATCCCCATCACAGACACTTGTCACTCCCAGATATCACTAAAAAAATCAACAGGAAATTATTTAATTGAGGAAAGTAAGAAAAAAATCCAACCAATAAAAGAAGAGCAACGTGAGATAATCAGTTACTCACAATTTTCCATATAATTAATTTACTGTCTTGATACCTTTTCTCATTAACTTGGATAGGCCAGGGAATTGGTAGCATCGAGGAACAAAGAGGATGGAAGGTCATTGAGTCTCCATACTACTCCACAATAGTTGTTTACCAGAGTCATACTGATCGATACCCTGTTGTTTGCTATCAGAGGGTACCATGCACGTTGGGCGCTACTTGCCCAACACCAAAAGTAAACATATATCAATCCACCTAGACCCCCTCCTCCTCTCATCCCCCTATCCATCGATATAAACACAATTCCCTGGAACGATTTCCTCCCGAATTCTAACACTGAATTGACCGCTCGCAGACGCCATCTCCATTGGTCCATTCGAGCTCTGATCATTCGGAAGGAATTATCATGGATTTGCAAATGAAGTGATGGGTCTGAGGTATGGGTGAGGTATCGTATGTTTTACACGAATTTTTATTGAAATGGCAACTCATTTGTAGGTAGACAGTGTACAGAAATAGCCCTGAGGGGTAACTGCACCCTTGAGGAGGGTCATCTCTGAACGATCTCGGGCAGTTTCACTTCATCCATTTGCATAATAGGAACTGCCCCTTTCTCGGTGTATAAACCCGGTGAGGTGAGGGTGTTAACTTAAGAGGCTGTCGTGAGTATCATAACAATAGAACTATTTTCCCTGGGAATTTTTTTAATATACCGATTTGCCTCCTCAAACTTCCGGCGAACGTCTGACAAATTTGAGCGATGCGGACAAAAAAGAAAAAAAAAATTTCCCGAGACTTTGAAATCCTTATTTGACATAGTTATAAGCGTCATTAAGGCCTTGATATCTTCTTAGTTATCAATAAATAAAAATGATAATCGCGATTCCGCGTTTTCTGATGCTTAATTTTCCACCATTATACCGGGCACTGAACAAACACTTGATCTCCGATTTAAAAAATCCCCCCAAAACCTTTGATTTACTCTCTCCAAAAAGCCCAGCAAGCTCCCAAAGCTGGCCGCAAATGGGACGAGAGTTGCGTAAACAAACAGTGAAAATGATATAATTTACAAAGGATTAGAAAGCCAAGGTCTAGAGAAAAGGGATTGGGCGAAAGGGATCTCCACAGTATCTCATCGTCTCGCTCGTCCCGATGCAAGGGAATAACTGTTTCTGGTTATAATTGATATCCTTGCAAAGCTACATAATCCCCATAGTCTCCAGTCCATAGTAGAAGTTCCAAACGCAGTGAGTGTACATGCGAACCCCTTGAAAGTTGAAATCCATTTCCATTTTCCACTGGAAATGGAAATTATTACTTTTCAACATCCTGTAAAAACTGTATTTCTCCGACTATCAATTTTTTTTTTGATTTGCCCCTCCATACCTCTGTAGCAAATTCTTCCACTCATCATTACACGCATTTTCCCAAATAAAAAGCCAACAAAAACCCCTGACATTTTAAACCCAACCTTTTTATTTATCACTTTTATATATTTTTTTTCTCTGGAATCCCCTCAACAACGCGCGTCACTCAACTCCTTTCCCAGACTCCAGTGATGTAAATGAAAAGGATGGGTGGGGGTTAAAATACAGATGTTGAAAGTATGGGAATGGAATTACCAATGCATTGAAAATATTTTTATCTCCAATTACATGAAAATATTCAGACAATGAAGGACTGCATGGGAATTAAAAAAATATATGTGAAAAAAAAATGGTAGAATGGTGGATGAAAGACCAAGGGGGTGGTGGGAGGGGTTGAGCGATGGGGGTGAGTGAGTGAGGGGGTTGAGGAATAAAAAATTAGGGAAAAATCCACGGTCGGTAAAACAGGAGCCCCGAGGCGTCTTCGAGGTCGATAGACAGGAAGAAAGAAGCTTGGGGAAGAGCTGGGGAATGACAAATTAACGAGTCGCGGTTTTCTTCTCGCGGGCTTTCGAATGAAAGAGGGGGGGTATGAGAGGGAGCAAATCCCTCTCCCTCAGACTTATCCTCAAGTCGTCTAATCCCTCGCCAACGAAACGGTGACGAAGCCGTTAAAAGAGATTGATTGTCGTCGTTGTAGTTTTCGATATCGAGTCACTACAGCTGGGGATCGAACAGGAATTTACGGGGTGCGAGGTGTTGGGGGGTTGGTCCCCTACTGAGGGGTGCTAAGTCTCACCGTAAATACCGGTGGCAAGTACGAAGACATTAGTCAGACGCTTAAATGTGACTTAGGTATGCATCAATTGTAAATGAGTCCTAAAATACGATATCAAATGTTGTAGCTATGTTTATGCCAGTTGTGAATGAAATGGCACTGAAGGAAATTCTCGCTCGGGGATCTCCGCCGAAAAGATGGTTGAGCTATTTTTATGTCAATTAGGGGCACGTACGGATAGAGCCGAGCTATGTTTTCCCCATGGAAATAAATCTGTGACTCGAAGTGTCGAAATACGTGAGAAATTTATGTACGGAATTTCTGTAGTATTTGTAAAAAAATTAATTCACTGAATTGAATGCTCAATTTTAGTAAAATTTTTCAAATATAGTCGCTCGCTGCGACCGTAAACATAATTTTTTTATAAGAAATTCGAATACGAGAGAATATGATATTTCGTAACAAGTGCGGAAAAGTGATTTTTGACCGGCGGGAGGTTTACAGCACGCACCAAAGGCGAGTGGTATAATCCCACATGCCAAAAACAACTTTCTGCACGAGTTGCGAAATATATTTTTCCTCCGCTTCCCTTCGCCTGCCTAAAAAGTGACTTTCCCACACATTGTGATGAGAATTTAATTTTTTATTTTTCCCGCCGGGGAATTCAATAGCTCGCGGGACGAACCAATGAATTGTTTACATCTTAGAGCGGAGTGGGTGAAACGAAAGATAAATTTGCAAACGCGCGCTCACAAAAAACGCATATTATTTCAAATTTATCAAAAATCAAGTACGATATTTTGCTTGTTCCCCTCTCGAATGTCTAAAGAATAAATAAGATGGTCGAGACAGGGTGGGGCTCAAGTAATTAAAGATAATGTAACCGTCACAAAGCATCCCACTCGAAGAGACGAAAAATACCCCTCGAGGTACACCCCTAACTGATTTACGGGAAAACAAGACTGTTTAATATTTCTCACGATCTCCCTTGGCGCCACTGTCGACTTTCGGCTTGTGCCTAACTTATTTAACCCGCTTGCTTCGCCAACCACGGGAATTTATTAAAATTTTCTCTCTCTTTACGTCCACGATAGCGATCTTCACCCTTCCCTCATCTCCGGATCCCTCACTCATCCGCGTTAAATCCGCGGTGTCATTCCCTCGAGCATAATTTATTTTATTAAAACACCAAACAATTGATAACACTCACAGCTAACAATTATATCACACAACAAATACATATGACCGAAGAAATTAAATAACAATTTATCCATTCCATTTTTATGCTATCAATTTCATTGGAATTCAATCATTTTCATATACCAAATATTATATTATTGGCGTTCATAATTAATCAATCGTTTCCTTTGGGTCTCGATGCGCAGAAAATCTTGTCATGATTTTCACAATTTGCTAAAACGGCTGAATAAGTCATTCCGAGATAAAGCTAGGCAGCACTAAACCGTTTAAGTCGAAAGACGAAAAGTTTGAGTGGTTTTATTTTCCCGCAAGGAATACAATCACAAGGGATAATTATTCGAACAACCGGTGTGTCTCGCGCAGAGCGCGAATTATCGTGCGATTTATGGGGTTTCTCGTTTGCCATGTATATAGTGGGTGGATGGAGGGTGTTGGGTTGTCTCCATTCTCCACAACTCGCTATCATCCCAAATTTTCCCTTCCCTCCCGCATCCTGTACACATACTATTCTCACTCGGATTTTCAAGTGAGGGGCCCCTCCTCATAGCGTGTACTCCCGTATTTAATCTATATTTAAGCAATTGCTGGTGTTCAGAGCGAAGGCGTCGGGTCATTAGCAGAGGCGCACCACTGCTAGCAATATCTTCTAGATTCAAACTGTTACGTTTAGCTAAGGATGTAAGAGCACCGGGACAAGTGGTACGAGACATTCCAATTGTACCCTAGTACTTACAGTTCTGTGAGATTCAATACAAAGAGTGCAATTTCATTACAACGAAAATAAAATAAAATAAACACACTTTATATTCTACATTTGTTACAAATTGAATGTTAATGTTTGATATTCTAACTGAAATGAAGACGCTCGGAGGAGTAATAATTTTCTGTAAACAGAATAAATAAATACAGAGATTAATGAAAATCTATAATTCACGCGAATGCCTGAAGCACAAAAATTCCCCAACGACGTATTCATCAGAGTCATTAGCCCGTGCCACCCGGAATGAGCCAATAAAATCTTGCAATGCATAGAACAAGCCAGTACAAAGGTAGAGTAGAATAGTTTAAGGGTTAAAAGCGCCGGGAGAATCTTCGAAATCAGGGGGGGGGGGGAGATTTTGTCTGTATAAGGTGAAACGATCTTGCGAGAGAGCGCAGAGGAAAATTAGCCCAGGGGGACTTCTTAACAACTGGAAGAAGAGGGCCATATGAAGGGGATTGGCTTGGGCACGCACCTAACCACCCTTGTGAGACACACAATCCCACCCCCTCCTCAAACCCTCGTATACCTTAGTAACTCTGTCGAATTTGTAGTTAAGGCTGTAAACGTAAACCTGGGAATTCTCTAGCGTCTTAACTTCCCTTTAAAACCCTTTCACTATTTTGCCATTCCCTATTTCTCCCTCTCGCTCCTCTCACCCCTTTCACCCCTTTCACCCCCTTACCACCATCGGACTACCCAAAATCCTTGTCGTCGATATTTTCCAACGACCTAGCACTTGGGTAACGTCGACGTGAAAATCCCCGTCAATCGTATATAAAGGAGGCGATTGTGAGGTAGTGGAAAGGAGAGGGTTGTATATAAAGCCATCGGTTGGAAAATGCGTTCACTGATATTGGCCGAAGATAATACATTGCAGAGTACGGATAATGGTATAGGAGTTAGAAAAGGGAGCGCGTTGGAACATAAAAAGATCCCACAACTTATACTGACAGTGGACATTATTTCTCTCTCTCTCACTTCACTCTCATTTTTTTGCAAAAAAAGAATAGGGTAGAGGGAAAAAGAGACAGAGAGTGGCCAAAAAAGAAATCACAAGTCACCCCTGAATTTATGGCACATTCGGTACATTCGATATTTTTCTATTGTCGATCCAACTCACCCCTATTTGTCTTATTTATGTTTCTTTTAGGGAGCCGCTGGCTAGCTCACCCATTTCACCGGATATGTACTAAACTACAGTCATACTCTCTTTTTGGAAACTCAAATGTGAAAGATACACTTTGATACTGGACACGTAGGTTATAGAATAAAGGGGGGGACAATAAATTCGGAATATCGCGCTGGTGGGTGGGTGTAAGGGGATGGTTTGAGATAAAAATGCTGTCAGTAGTTGTTGTGATTGAATTAGAGATGGAAACATTAATTTCAGGTTATGAAGATACTCGGAAAATTGATTTCTCGTGGATAACCAATTTCTGGGAATGGTATTTATAGATATTACCCGATGATAAATTAATCGAGATTCAATGAACATCGATATAATGTTTGCTCGAGAGGGTAATATCGAGGGGCTAAGACGTTTGATAACCATAACCCCTTTGGGTAGTTTGGTCTCGTATCTCAGAGAACGAGGGTCTTGCGTTTAGGGCAGCACGCGTCCCTTCTATTAAATCTTCTATTAAATTAATGTAAGACGAGATTGAAGGGGTGATCGAGGTGTATTCATAGTGATCCTCACTACTGGGTCAACTGGCATTCCTAGGTGCCTCTTCAATGGGCAAAGATGGGCTTCAATGACTGATAGTCAATCGTTAATTCAATCATCTCTCATTTGTTGTTTTACCAGGGAACTGAGGAAATCTCAACAGTGAAACGCGAGTGTGGATAACGAGAACGTGGGTCTCGTTAGAATTAGCCCGCACATGTGACGGCAGATCTGATTTGATCAGAGGGTAGACAGAGTGGGATATACAGTGGAGGGGTTGTACAAAAGCTGCCCCTATAACCCACCAGAATTTCTAACCGAAGAGTTATCCACCAGAATCTATCATTTCTCAAGATTTGAATAATGCCGATGATCACTCAGGGAGGAATCAAAACAGACGGGTAATTCTTTTTTTGGATTGAACAAATTTAGTGCTTTGGGCAGAGGTGATGAGATTCCAAATTTTCTCGTAATAGAAATTATTTCTCCCATTTACTTCATTGTAATGTCAGATGAATTTCCATCGATGGTATTTCTTAATAAGTGTAGATATTCATGCACTGTCGATTCTAATGTGACAGATGCAATGCCCAATCCATTATGGATTGTCATACGTGCCATCTGACGTTAATCCTCGCCATAAACAGACACTGGATCACGAGGACAATTCACGCTCTGACAGTTCCACATTACCAACCAGATTACCTATTTTCATTGAATCGATTTACCCTCACCCATGCCTCAACCTCACCTGAAGTGTCTTAAAATTAATGACGTAAATCGTCAACCTGATGTTTTAGAATTCTCCGCAGTCACCTGACATGCTCAGCGGTTTCGAGATATCAAGTTAATTTCGATGTTATTTGAGAATTACCCTAATATTTGTATTTCATATTTAAAAATTAACGAATTAATGAAAAATTCAATAATTAATTCTAACCAGCTCGCCGACGTGGGAATCAGCGCTTTAGCGTTGAAAATTAATCATAATATAATTGAATTGAAGGGTCACCTTATTCTTCTGCCATTTTAATTCTATATTTTAATTGGAAAATAGCGGAAAAGATCGGATAATGGGATAATAATTATAGTTTAAAATTTCACTCGAGTGAAAGATGAAAGTGAATTATTGAAAAGTGCATGACACGTTTGTGAAGCGGTGACCATCTCCTTAAACTGAAATCCCGCTGGTTAGAACAATTTCGGAGGACTTGATTTCGAGTAGATTCTATATACTCTGCCCCACCTCCCAACATGCGGGCATTCTATTATGCAATTAGTGAGGAGCCCGGAGGAAATTCTAAGGGGTATAACCAAGAGTACACCATAGCTAGAGAAACCCAAGGTATATCGTTATCGGACATGACAGGACACGACCGTCCGACACACCCTTTCTTCGTTCGGACTCATCCAAATCTACGAACAGCTATACCAATTTCTCTCTCCAAAAATGCCATCGCACCATTGCTTATCCCCGAAACATAGCCAACAATTTCCCAAGAGTCTCGATAAAACTGAAGGAAACGTTCAACATTTCAGGGACATGAATTAAACTCCCGCCTGGAGGAGCATCCGCGCTGTCTTTCCAAAGAATTTACGATTTTATTGAATATATCCACCAATGATACGAGACAATTGTAAAATACTGAGGTGAGGAATCAACGGATATATCTTTATATAGCAGTGGATATTGATCTGATTGGTGTACTGTACCGTGAAAGTGGTTTTGTTCATTCTGGGATTCGTCTTAGTGATTCCATAATTATGTTAGAAATAGATGGTTTGTTACCCATTGGGAATGTCAATTTCGGAATTAAAATATAGATTTGAAAAGTCTTGTACTGATGATACTGCGGTATAATTGACTTTTTAATCGTTGCAATAACCACCCGAGATCAGAGTGCTTTTTTCATTTTGACAAGTCTGCTATAAAAGAGTTCACACTCCTCAAACGTGTCGGGTCAGCCATAAATATTTGGTTACACGTCTGTTCAACTCAAAAAGTCAGCAATTCAAATCCACAAAATCAACATAACTATGTTTTTATATTTTTATATTATTATTTAATATTTTAACAACGTTGAGTTATTTGGAAACTGAAATTAAGACGGAAATGAATTCTCGAGATTTTGTTTTCAAGAGTTTACGAAGTTGACGTATTGGATAAGATACATAAATAAATAAAGTCACACGGTGTATTAATTTTCCAGGTATCTGTGGATGAAACTGTTGGAGCAGTGGAAAAATTGCGATAAATTAATGAGACAAGCGGCCATGTAATAAGATGGCTAACGCTATGCTATCAGCGAAGGCCCTTTCCGAGTTATTAATTGCTCTCGTAAAAAGCGTAAAGCCTGCTTCCATGGGCATCGAGGGATCGCACTTGAGTGGACCCAGCGATTCGCATAATTAACGTGAAAATTGAAAGCTCCTTGATAATTGAAAAATAAAACGCGCCTGTAGGTGAGAGAAAATATTCAGAAATGATGATTCAACGCAGTTTATCAAATTCATCGTGTATGGTAAGCTCGAAAAAATTGAAGGGGGGGAGGATTGAGAATTTGGCTGGAAATTTTTCCACACCTTCACGAGGACAAGGAATTTTTCATCGTTACAACGAGGGGTGGAAAAAAAAACTGTTGAGAGGGAAATAAATACAAATTGCAGGATTACCATCCCCGCGGTTTTTTTTTTCTCTTTATTTTTTTTTTTCTTGGAGGAGCATCATGACTCGCATGAGCGAGGGAAGCATTCATCCTCCAGACACATCAACCTGGGCGAAAGCTCAATTTCTCTACAATCTCGGAATCTCTCAATTTTTTTTTTCACCGTCTTTTCATCTTCTTAGTTTCCACCTCATCGAACGAATTTACACTTGTCATAAAGTATTTGGATATGTTTTTCCCGCAAATTTGCGAGCGTTAAAACAGTAGTTTTGGGAATGGTATCAGTTTTAATGCTCACTTTACCCATAAATTGTTTTATGCGGTTTTGCCCGGAGCCAGGATACACGATTGGATGGCATTAAAATCGGGGAAATATTGCCAAATATGTGGTAAATGTGGGGGTGTAGAAACTTTCGGGAGTTTTTTAACGATCGAATAAACTACTGGATTTGCATGTGACTACATTATACTATCGTGTTATTGAATATTCGGAGAATGTTCTATTCTTTAAGAGACGAAATCATCTGCGAATGCTCCGCACACGTCTTTATTCGAAATATTTGAAATTTAGCCACGACATTGTGGTAGCGGGTCGGCTTGATCTTACGGTTCACCTTACTACCCATACGGTCATTCGAGATATTTCGAGATCGATTTCCTTTCTTCTTTTTATAGATATATCTTTTTAGGATTAGTCGACAGCTAAAATGTAGATTCAAAATGAATTTCCTCAAATCTTAAAATGTCAATATAGCACAATCAATAACTTTTCTATAGAATTTAATAACGATTTTTCAATTTATTTTAATGATAAACTAGCTTCATTTGGCTGGAAGATATTTTCCAATTCCTGCAATGTGAGGAGCCCAAATATATTACCCACTGATCGTGAAAAAAATCAATAATTCAGATGCACCCAGAGTATCAATTATTCATAACCACTGAAAATCCACTGACACAACGTACCTCAACTAGATACTCGCACATTTCTAAGATCAATTATCTTCTGCAAATAACTTGGATCATATACAGGTCGGTTGGTGTGCACTTATGCTGTATGAATAATGGAAATTATTCGAGCGAGGAAGAGCAGGAAAAAATAATAATGACAACTTTTTCCATCTCTTCACACTTTTCGACTAATTAAATAACTCAGAGAGTTTACTACCAGTATATCGACGTCGTGCGGCGTGACATTTTATCCCCCTGCAGAGGTGTGAAAAAAAGACGTGAAACCACAGATTTTCGGATTTTCTCGCTAATTAAATATTTTCCGAGGGTTCAACATTGTTCAGCAGTTTTATTGGAATTTTTGTGGATCTTCTGCTTGCAAATAACGAACACGGAATTTTTTATTCCGTTTTCTCACATTCAAATTAATTTAATCGGTTCATCGAAAAATAACGGGGTATTGTCAACAGATTATTTTAATAAACCATTCGGTGGTTGATGAAAATAATTATTCAACGATTTTATTTATTATTATTATTGTTATTATTAGTATTATTATTAAATTATTTTATGAACAAATGTTCATGGAATCTTATATTCGAATAACTCCGTTGATATTTTGATTTATTTATTGATTTTAAATGGTATGAAATTTCGGTAATAGTATATTACAGCTACTTCATCTAATTTTCAATTTTTCTGAGCTATTATTCATCTTAATAACTATAAAAAACGAAGGAAAGAGTAAAATTGAGTGGCGCTCAATTAGGTACGTACCCGAAGGGAGTAGATCGGTTCATACACCGACATGAGCATCCACCAAAATAAGGGAAATAACCCAGAGGTTAAATTCATTACTAGCTGCTCAGTTCGAACACGAAAACTGTCTATTTACTGTAGGATATACTGTAAAAAAAATCATGCAACTGAAAAAATTGAAAATATATACCTTGATATACTATTACCAAAATTTCTTGGAAATATTTCCATCAAGAGTTCTAAGTCACCCCGAACCCCTGAAAATCCGAGGAAAATTCATTAAACCCTGTAGCCCCTAAAATTTTGCCAACTTTTCCGTCTCCGAAAATCCAGATGAATATTTATGACCAATAATGCAATCCGTGAGCATCGCAACAACAGCTAATTAAATTTATGCAAACTCACGGGAAAAAAAAGCGCAATAAATTGGTGAACATTTTTTCCGACATAAACCTAAAAGATTAACCTCCGGTGGTGTTCCTCGAGAGGGCAAAAAATTACGTGAAAAGAGGCTGTTTGGTCGGCCATCGGGTTAGATATTCAGAAGCGAAGAGGACCCAGAATGGATGATAGAGGAAGTGAAAAAGACAAGTGAGTACAAGGTGAATCTACCTAGGGTAACAGTAACCCTATTTTGGTATTCACAAAGGATTCGAGTTGCTCGACGTGAATTTTTTTCTCTTGAACCAGTGGCGTGTCCCGAAACCGCGTATCCCGCGCAGAATATAGCGGGTGAGAGGCGACAATCAACCCTCGAGCTACTCTCCTTGTTGCTCTTCCCCTGGAAAAAAAAAAGCGAGAAAGTCACACAGTCATCGCTGTGCCCAAGGTATTTCACTACCACTCTTTTTTGCTGTGACAATAATTGCACCTCATAATTGCACACGCCGGACGTTGCGCGACAAGAAAAGGGTTAACATTTATTTTCCTTCTTCAAATAGAGGTGTATAGGGAGTAAATAAGAAGCCACTTGGGAGAATAATCGATATTACACGTCGAGGCGAGTCGAAAAATAGAGAATAAAGACAAAACCAATGGATGCTACTTGCTGGATAAAATTGACACCTGGTGGGGCTGATGGGGTGGCAGATAAGGTAAATTAAAGAGGAGGGGAAGGAAGGATGACGTGAAATCGAAGGATCGCGGAATTTTATTTTTTCGAGCGTCGTTACTCGACGAGAAAGAGCCTATTAACAAAACCTGAGCTGAAGGAAAGGGAAGATAACCTCGCATGTCTCATTGCAATCTCTACCGGTTTATTGAGAATGTGTGTTCGGTACTGCGGGTAAATTACTCCCCCGTCGCACTAAAAAAAGCCAATTGCCATTCAGATTGAAGAATACCCCATCGATTACCGGCGTCATGTTAAAATATCCGAAATACCGTCTTATAACATTTTAATTGACGAATTTATGCCGCGGAATGTCGATGAAATATTTATCATCAAATTGGCCGCCAGTAGACGATCTGTTTTGTGGAGTGCAAGAGAGAGGATAAATTGCGGGAGAGCAATTAGAAGTCGGGTAGAAGGAGTGCACTAGAAGGTACACTCTCAGGATACGATGTATCGTTGGATCAAGTGTAGACCCCCGAGATCCAGAAATTCCTCCCACGTTTGTCTCGAATTATTTAAAAATTGTGTAAATTTTTGCCGAGATATTTCCAGTTATTCGCGATGGTGGTGGAATAATTTTGGTGAAGACAATGACGGCGGCTTTGGCAGGGTAATGAAGAAGAGAGAAATTGAACGGACAATAGTTAGCCTCCCTCAGCTCTCCTCCATTTTGTGTCCTCAATCTATTGTCTTCTTGGTTAGGTGATACAATGGCCAAGGAGCCATGTTATTTTCCAGCGTCGCGCAAGGTTAATCATCGTCTCAACGGTAGCAACCCCTTACCAACCCCTCATGAATGACACGACTGACTTACCAAAACAAGAGAAACTGTGCGATAACACGAGGCGTACATCAGACATCCTCTAGTTTTTTGTTGAAAAACTTTTCTCCCTCAAGATATTGCACAGCTAGTGCCAGGACAAACGCACTTAAAAACTTTTTAAATTTAACCCGATCCTCACTTTATGGTTGTACCCGAAAAAAAAGTAAAAATTTATATAAGCATACGAATTTTTTATGCACGAGAGACCTGAAGTGAGCCGTTTAATGGCGTGCATATAACGTTGAAAAAAAATTTGTCTGATAATAAGTTGCCCCTTTTTTTTTCTTTAAACCCCTGCCCCCTCCCGCCTCACCCACTGAATTTTATTATTTTTAGGTATCCAGAGGGGTTGGGGGAATTGTCCAATTCATGGATTATACCGCTGAGGGCGAAGTTTTCCAATTAAATTCGGATTATGTCGTTTTGTCTCGATATTGAAAATACATCGATACGAGGGATCGGGGCGGCGGTTGGGGGTGGGAAGGTGGCATAATCGTTTTCATCGGCATTGCACTAGTGCTGCGATACCTTCCACGATGAATCGTTGAAACTTCTGTCAACATTCAAGGACTCTGGGGAGGATCAACTCAGTATGAGGATTATATACCGAAAATCCGTTTCATCCAATCTCTGTCTCTGTTTCTTCGTTTTTCTCAATCGAAATCGCTGGGATAACCAATTCGTTTTCAGGATATCAGGTAAATATAAAAATTATTTGACAATTTCATCACTCACGTCCGCCAATTTATCACAACACTAGATTTATCTTTGTGTCTATTAAATAAATTGAATTAATTAATAAATTATAATATCGGTTAATTAAAAAAATTATTGATGCTCACATTTGATGTTAACATTAACAGAAATTATCGAAAGAATTTTTATCTGAAAAATTCAATTGATTAGATGATTGAGGGAAATTGAAGAGCAATTATATTTTCTGTATGATTATTGCTGTTATTTAAATGAAGACAAGATTTATCGCCGAATCATTCATCACTCAATAAAGTTATCTACTCCCCCATCATTCCTCTCTTCACATGAATTATCGATTTCGAAAGCGAGTCATGCAAACCAACCTAAAACTATCGATTCCACCAAATTATGGCAGTGGGTCAGCATGATAGGGGGAAAGGCGAGTGAGTGAAAACTCGTCTCACCCTCAACCCATTTCGCAAGCCCCTCGACAAACCTCTGCACCCCCAATCTTCCTCCCCTTCTCCCTATCAAATTTGCTCATCCCCTTCGAAAAGAGAAAAAAAAAAAAATTACG